TAAATATAACAAAAAATTGACTTTTCATGATATTCCTGAGCAAAGAATCATACCTGAATATATCCACAATTACTTTTGCATTATAATTTATCTCATCAGAGTATACCTTATACATAGAGTACGAATTCAAAAACCGATTTATGATTTGATACAGTTTTCTGGTAAATTTTCTTTGTATGACTTTGTTATCATAAGACTTTATCCTCGCTTTATTAGTTCTTGTACATACTAAACAATCATTCACTTCTCCATTATGCTTCAATATTCTTTCATTATCTTTCGTTTAACTTGTCATCTACGATAAAACTCTGCGATGACATATTACATGTATATATGAAATCAATTCATATAAATACTTTTTAGTTTGTGTCATTTATCGACAGGATGCAAAAACTTTTCAAGACCAAGAACAATTCATGCCGCTCGTATACTAGTATCTTGCAACCGGATCGAGTATTCTCGCATCCGAACGGCAATATATATGAGATCTCGAAGTTTCAAAATATTTTTATTTATTCAAGCTAATATGCATAAATACATCGGAATGAGAACAACCCACACAAGTGGAAAGCCGTATTTTTTTTACTCAGAGAGTTTGTTTTTCATGAAAATTCATCTACAGATGATGATGATGAATCATATAACTAACGAAATAATTGAATACATGGAAAGAAAAATTAATTATCAACAAGGTGAACATGTATCATCGTGATGGAAAAAGCATTGACGTATATATTCATAAATATAACGTTTTTCACCAACACTACATTCCATTCTAACGTCATCAGCAACAAGCAAACGTATACTTACCGAAATTAATCGGATTTTCTAAGCAGAAAGAGAATCCTGAGTCACTTGTGCTTTTGTGAACTTTAAGATCATCTCTTTTTTTTTTGTTGCTGTGTATATTGAAAAAACTAAACAGCCGACTATGAAAAAGAATACCTTACAAAACACTGCAAGTACAGAACACTGCTTGGGACATTCTGGTTTATTAATCTGTTAAATATTTAATGAATTTTAAAATTCATCATGTAACATTCTTACTTCTAACTAAATATTTCAATTTCAAAAAAATTATTATACACATGCCATCGAATCGGCCGACATAAAAACTTACTATTATTCATTTTTTCAATAATTATATTGTAATTTGTTTTTTTTTTGCTGAAAATAAATCAACTAATTCTATTTTCTACTCTCTTGTGTTTTGATAAAGTATCTTTCATCTCTTTTTTTGTTCATACTAACAATAATGATTTAACACATATTTTCTGCACATTTTTTTTTTTTAATTCCATTATAAAACTAAAAGACTGCACAGATGTAGAATAGACACAAAAAAGAATCATAGAAGCATAACAAACAACTTTTACTGAAATTACTATTCTAAAACAAACAAAATTTTTAATTAAGTATATAATTAAAACAATCAAATAGAAAAACTTTTTAAAAAATTAAGTTGAATGATTTGCTGCTCTACATTTGATACTTCCATTTTTTTTTTTTTTTATTCTTGACAAGTGTTAAAATGTCTCGCAACAAGTTGTTCCCATGAGACAAAACTAACCATAGATTAACAAAGAGAGATCGATGTCAATGGTGTTGTATGTGTAATAATCGACAATGAACATCTTCTTTTTTTCATTCATACTAAATGATGTTGAATGATTAACGAGCTAAACAAAATTAGATAATAAACTTCAAGATTAAGTTTAATTTTAATTGGATTGGTTCAAAAGACATTGTTAAATTTTGATTGGTTAAAAAGACAAATTAAATTTTCTCTTTTTTCTGATTTCAAAGTAGGCGGAAGTCGTCAGTTAATCTATTAAACGAACAACAACAAACTTACTCTATATTCAATTCCTTTGAGAGAGAGAGCAAGAGAGAGAAAAAAAGAGTGTAGACTTTTTTTTCTCTCTCAAACATCATTGATGCATATCGATTCGCTACAATAATCATTGTCGTCGCTTTTAATCAAGTCTTTTTCTCTCTCTCTCTCCCTCTTTTTTTTCCTCTCTCGGTCTCTCTTTTTCTGAAACTTGAAACGAGTCATTGGTTTTTTTTCTTCATTTGACTCAGTGTACGCGTTTGAGAAAAAAAAAATTCAATCTATCATACATATAAGAAAAAAAGAGAAACGCTCTATTGCTATCTCTCTTCCCTTCATTGCCTTTTCGAGACTGTCTTTTGCTTGTGCACAAGAGTCTTGTTACTGTGCAAAACCATGTTTCCGTTCAACCAGTTCGTTGCAGCTCAATACCGATATTCCAAATTCGGTAGGTACTTGGTATTTTCTTCTTTTATTGATTCATTCTTTTTTTTTTGTGGTATCTCTTTGTGCTCCAATGAATCACAAGAATCAATTTTTTTTCATTTATTTATCCATATAGGACATGGAGGAATCAATCAACTTGGTGGAGTTTTTGTTAATGGACGACCACTACCAGATTTTGTTCGTCAATCAATTGTTGATTTAGCTAAACAAGGTGTACGACCATGTGATATAAGTCGTCAATTACGAGTATCACATGGTTGTGTAAGTAAAATTCTTGGAAGGTAAATAAATTCAAAAAAAGAAAAGAAAAGAAAAATCAGTTTGACTGAATGACTTTTCTTTTTAGATATCATGATACCGGTTCAATTCGACCAGGTATTATTGGTGGAAGTAAACCAAAAGTAGCAACACCAAAAGTTGTTGATGCTATAAATAATTATAAAAGTCAAGCACCAACTATGTTTGCATGGGAAATTCGAGAACGTCTTATAGCTGATGGAATATGTGATGCTGATAAAGTTCCAAGTGTTAGTTCAATAAATAGGTAATAATTTTTTTCTTTTTTTTTGTTTTTTTAGAGGGTTCAATGCGGACGACTCAATTGCAAGAAAAATGGAAATTTTCCAAGAATTGCGAAGGTCATTTCTAAATAAAAATCACATAAGATTAATCGAAATTTTATATCGCACTTCATAAATCTCTCATCAAACAATAGTATAATTTCGATTGTCATGTAACTAATGACTCGCAACGATATATTTGATTGAAGAATTAAAATTACACTTCTTTTTTTTTCGCTTCATAATCATAGAATAAAGAAACAGGTGGGAAGAATACTCTATTCATTTTGATTTTGAAAAAAGAAATCTATTTTTAGAATAGAAATGAGAGAAATAATTTTCTAAATATAGAAATAATAGAAAATAACATGTTTCATTAAATATATGTAGTAACCAATCGAGAGAATACAAACAATTATTCATTAATGTAAGATTTTTTATTTTTTTCAATTAAATTGATTATCTTCGAATCAAAAATGATATGATCATATGTTGTCGTATCTAATAATCCCAATAGACAATTTATTATGTTTGTTCAAACTAAAAATTTTCTACTCAATTAAATCTTAAAAGACGTAGTATGATATATGTGTCAAAGTTCATTAGTATAAATTAATATGGAAATGAAAAAAAAACAAAACGAAGATTTCTTTTTTTTTTTTTTTTTCTTCTTGTTATCATAGAATTGTACGTAATCGTGGTAGTTCAAATAATAGTTCATCACCAACAGCTACAACAACTGAAGATGATAGTCGAAGTCATCAAATAAATGTATCATCATCATCATCATCATCACCAAATGTTTATAGTATTCATAGTTTACTTAATCATTCTCAATATGAATATTCAACAATAAAACAACGTTCAGCATCTCGTACAAACCATCATAATGGTAAGAGATTTCTATTTTTCTTCTTCTTTTTCTTCGTTTTTTTTTTTGTCATTGTCTATTCAGACATACCATTAGTCTTACTGTCAAGTTTGAATTCTCAATAGAATAAGAATATAATGACACTTATTTTGTGATCATATGTGAACTTAATTCAGTTTCTTTAGATCTATTGGATCAAAAAAATTTTTCAAATGAACAAATCGATTTTTTGGATAAATTTTTTAAAGATAATCCATGGGCTGATAATGCACAAATTGAAGCTATTGTTAAACAAACAGGCCTTACTGAATCAATTATTAAAGTAAGAAGAAAAAATAAAACAATTCCTTTTCTTCAGGAGCACGACGACCTTTTGCTAGAAAGCTGTGAGTTCAAATTTTTATGAATATGAGTTTGGTTTCCTATCAAGATTTGGCACTCTTTGTATGCATAAATAAATGAAGAATTGAGGTTTTAGTTATTTATTGATTACTCTCGAAAAAAAAAGGCCAAGATAAAGTTATTTCGTGTTTTTCACTTTCTTATTAATCGGTGTCTAATAAATTAAAAGTTTTCACTTAGTTAAAAAGATAATCGTATTAACAAAAGACAAAAGATTATAAACGGTTAATTGATAAACGAAATTTGTCAAACCAACAGTAATAAGAAGATCAAGAAAGTTTATTCCTGATCTATCTGCTTTTGAAAGTTGTTCACACAGCGCTTCTTTCAATGCTGATTTATGTTTGTTTTTCTTTTTATTATAAAAATCATCTTCTTATTAAGGCTTATATTGATCAGCGTCGTGCTAAATGGAATGCAATATATTCATCAAATAATTATCTTAGTTATAATTCAAATGAATTTATTCCAACATCAAATTCAACACAAACATTAATAAAAAATGATTTTGATATGACAACAGCACCGGCAATAACACGTAAGATAAAATTTGACTTCTATTTTTTTTTTTTTTTTCTTTTTTTATTAGAAAAATTTTATTTTAGAATCTAATGAACCTTTTTGTTCATCATCATATCCTCCACCACCACCACCACCACCTACAACAACAAATTTTCCCCTAACAGCTCATCCATCAGGTAAGATTAACATATAACTAAGAATTTAGAAAAAAAAGAAAAACCCATTTTGTCTTTTATAGATTATTATACATCATATCCTTATTCAACTGATTGGCGATATAAATTTTAATTCGAATGCATTGAATAAATTAGACTGTCTATTTTGTGTAATTGGTTTGTTTTGAAAATGTAAACAAATAAAAATATTAGAAATCTGAAACATTGCCATCGTTATCATTCTTATTATAGGTAGTTTTTAGTGATTGTTTTGAATGTGTTGGACTTTTTCTTGATGATATGTTACTTTGACGAGATGATGGTCGTGTATCTTCCGGTGATATGTGTCGAGATGATCGATGATCATTTGAAGGCGAAGATGGTTGTTGCTAGAAAATAGTTAAGAAATAATTTGAAGTAAAAAGATTTTTTTTTTCTTACGAATTTCGAAAATGGTTCACGATTGTCAAATCCAAATTTATCTAAATTCAGAAACACACGTCATTTTGTTGAATCTTCTTCATCAGAAATGAATACAAACTTCGATCATTAGGAAGAAATTGTTTAGAACCACTTCCACTACTAATATATGGTGATGATGGTCGATAATTATCAAGAGATGGTGAGAAAGGTCGGCGCTAAAAGATAAAATAATTCAATATTCATGTTTAATAGATGAGTTCAAAGTTCTTGATTAATTTTATTTGTAATAAAGTATTGAAATACAATATTGTAGAAATTTGATCATTTTCTTGTTCGAAAGAGTAGAACGTCTAGAGGGAAAACTTTTCAAAGATTTTGATTGGAAATATTTTCCATAGTTCATAGAAACTTTAGAATGTTTCAATATCATATATAAAAAAAATTAGCTTAGACGAAAAACTTTTTTATTTTCATCATTGTGATTCCAAAGTGAGAGTTAGGATCTATGTTTATATATCGACTTGTAGATGAGAAGTTACCTTACAAAACGTATTATTTGAAGCTGTTTTTTTTTTGTCTTTTGATGAAACATCTCAATTTTTGTTTTTTTTTCTAAATAGTTATTTTTGAAAAATCGACAACAGTTTTACGTTGAAACGAGCTCTTGAAAAATACAAAGACTTGACATTTTTACAATTAAGTATTTTCATTAAAGTTTGTCTTTATGCAAAATGTCAAGTCGAAATTTAAAACTTGGAAAAGAAGAATCAAAATAAAATTTTTCATCATCTACAAAAGTTAAATTCAAAAACAAAACAAGCTACAGAGTTTCCTAATACTTTTTGGTTCTAAAATTTTTAATCAAATTCTTTTATATATATTTGAATTAGACATTGTAATTTTTCTAATCAAAAGAAAATGAATCAAGTCTCTACAATATAGTATTGCAATGCTATATTAAAAAACAAAATTAATAAAGAACTTTTGTCTCATTCTAACTTACAAAGTTTGAAGGTAAATCTCGATTATTTGTTTGTAAACGATTATTAGATCCAATTTTATCTATACAAATAAATATCATATATCAAATAATATTAATTAAAATCATATGAATAGTTTTTACCATTATATAAACCACTACTATCCGCAAAATTTTGTTTTGAATGTTGGTAAAAATTCTCTCGTTTTTTGTCACTTAAAAAATTGATCATCAAATGAATTCTATAATTTGAATTAAATTTCTTACCTTTCATATTGTGATCCAAATTGTTTTGATGGTTTTTCAATAATACCATCATTATCATCATCATCACTTTCAATACGCTGTAATTTTTCTGTTCGAGAAGTTTTATCTATTTCATTTCGATTGAGATATCCACGTAATGATGCTTGCACAAGTTTTAAAGCAGACTTTTAATTTAAACAATTTTAATTATAATCTTTCAATGAAAAGTCTTACTTCATTGGACATATTAGCTGCTGTAAGTCGATTTTTAATATCACTACTATCAAGATCATCTATTTTTGAACCTAATTTTTGTTGACTGGCTCGTGGCGATTGTGTTTCTAATGATTTCTATTTAAATTATGATTATAAAAAAAAAAAATGTTTATAGATCTTTAAAAAAAATACAAATAATTCGAGAATAAAATGCATTGATAGATAACATCTTGAGAAAAAGTGTCACATTATTTTCATGTATATGATAACAATACTGTTCTTATATGTTTTCATTAGAAGTATAAAGATATTGAATGAAAGAAATATTTTATGTGAAATACGATTATTGAACTTTGATAAGAACTGATGCTGAAATTTAAGTGTAGAGATTTTAACAACTTTTAATATTGATCTCAGTAGAATAAGAGACATTCGATAAAATCTTCTACGCGATGAACTTGTACAGAGAGAGAGAGAGAGAGAAAAAACAGATTCATGTAAATCTACAAAATCTAAACGAAGTCTAGAAATTGTTTCACATCTCAAAAGCTTTGTTTCTTTCTAGTATAGACCGTCATGGCTAACAAGGAAGCTAAATGATCAATCGCTTTGTTATAGAATGCTAATAGGTTTTGTGAGTTATCGACCATGCTGGTTTCTTGGACCGCATCAAACTTTTTATCAGAATTTTTTTGGATCTGTCCATATTATATAGAGTATATCAAACCGGCTACAAAAAAAGTAATTTTACCTATTTTAACATGCCAATGCGAAAATCTACAAGATAACATTATTTTACAGTTCATTTTTGGAAAACAAGACTTATCGTTAGCTCGATAATCTGAATAGATCCAAAACAATTTCGCAAATTATTTGTTAGTCTAGAAAACCAGTGAATAAAGGCCTAAGAGGATTTCTCATAGTTATGTTCAACATCGTCCCGATCAATAACCGACCAGAGCTTCAGCTAGTATTTGTTGTAGGGAAGATTTTGAAGTAAAAAAACCACTTTTGAGCAGCAATCTATATCGCTAGGTAGTCGAAAGGTCAAGTAGTATATTCTTCCTTCTTTTCTAGTATAAGATATTTCACTACTGCTGTCGAATAGTTAGAAGAAGAAAGATCAACTGATATCGTTAAATGACTTACTAATCCGCCAATTTTTAAGTGCCGCTAAAATGAAAAAAAAACTAGATAATGATCAGACGAAAGAAATATTGATCTACTTTGTCAAAAGTGTCTTGTCTTGTTTTAGATGAAAATGAACTTTTATGTGATTTATTATGCTCACGCCAACCTCGTTGAATCACAGTTGCTGCATGTTTTTCTCGAAAATTTTTAAGACGATTTTCATCATCACTAGAAGAAGTACATAAATAAAATAGAATTTTCATTAATTCTATTTTACCTATTCCAATCATCACGACGAAAATTTCGATATCCTGTTTTTCTTGTCATCGATGGTGATGGTGTATTACGATCAAATTTAGTTGGTGATGAACGTGAACCAATATGTTCTTTAGATTTTTGTAGAGGTGTACTTGATCTATAGAATAAACAATGTGTTATTCAATTCTATTTGTAGAATGTTTTTAAATTTACCTTGAACCTTTTTTAGTAGGCTCTTCAGATGAACTTGATTCTCGACGTGAAGTAATAGTTGTTGATGAACGATCCGTTTGATTTGATTTGATTTGTCGATAATGATCGGATCGCATTTCTTCTAAATCATTACTAGCTCGTTCGAATTTTTTACGATATTGATCACGTTCACGTTTCATTTCTTCAAGATCTTCATTGACAGTATCTAATTTATCACGATATTTATCACGTTCCTGTCGCATTTGTTTAATTTCATTTTTCATTTGTTCAAGTTCATTTCGATAATTTCTACATGTTTCCTTCAAGTCTTCAATTTTTCCACGTAAATCTCTATCAGTACTACTGTCCTATTAATCAAAGAAAAAAAAAAGCAGATATTTGGTTCAAGAACTATTCTTTTAAGAGTAATATTTAAGCAGAAATTATTTGTAAGAATTAAGAAATTATTTAAGAAGCTGAAAGAATTTTAAGATTGATTTTATTTTATAATAAACGATAGCATTATCGATAGTGCATCGTCTTCTTTCTGCTAATATTATGCAAATAGAATACTAAAATATGAATATAATATAGCAAATTTTTTGAATCAAATTACATACATTGATAGAAAATTAATCATTATCAAATATATTTGAGCATAAAATAACAATTTATAATTTACGAGGAAACATATCCAACTGATTCCGAGCTTTCGGCTTCATCTTTTGGCTACAGGTAGGCCTCAGTGAGATTAAGAAAACCCTAGAAGCGTTCGTTCCCATGGCGTATTAGTGAAGAGTTATGACCGTTTTACTGGATTTTTTACTTGGGACAGGGTATTTCCAAAAACCTTAAAACAAATAATTTTGACCTGAAATTTTGCCTATAGATAGATCTATTAATTATCAGAAAGTCCTGAAAGTTTCAAAGAAAATCAACGTGCCTTTCTTGAAATATTTAATTTCCAATGAACTTGGCAATTTGGTCCTCCTGTAATAAGAGGCTGTTTGTTTTGAAAAATGAATATCTCGAGAAAGGTACGTTCATTTTCTTTAAAATTTTCAGGACTTTCTAATAACTAATAGATCTATCTATGGGCAAAATTTCAGGTCAAAATTATTTGTTTTAAAGTTTTTGGAAATACCCTGTCCCGAGTAAAAAATCCAGTAAAACAGCCATAAGTCTTCACTAATACGCCATGGGAACGAACGCTTCTAGGGTTTTCTTAGTCTCACTGAGGCCTACCTGTAGCCAAAAGATGAAGCCGAAAGCTTGGAATCAGTTGGATATGTTCTCTCGTTAGTTCGGAACAATTGAGACTAACGAGGGAACCTATTCAGCTGTTCGCTCTCAATTTCAACGAATAACTTAAAGAAATACGGTTTCTCACACTTCTTTCGGATATTATGAACATTCTAATTTTGTCTCTATAGTGCATAACATGTAATGTGGATCATAAATAGCACTACGATCAAAAGAATAAAATATATCTTCATCAGTTCAATCAACTTGGCTAATTTTTTTTTTTTTTGGTTATTGATAGAAGTTTATTTGAAGATTTTTTGTCATATGAATAAGATAAGTAAATATTACCATTAAGTATGATTGTTGGTATCATAAAACCAGTTTTACCTGTTACCAAGTAAAAAAACAGCCATGTTTAGTCTTTCATAGAGTCATTGGAGTTGTTATCTGAGAGAATAAGAAGAATAAGTCAAAAAACGAACTTTATGAATGATCCTGTATTGACGTATATAAAGTAAGATGCTAAAACTAATCAGTTTTAATGCTGAAAATCGTGCATCAGAAGTAAAAAACAAAATTACAGTTTTTCGTATATCAAAACACCAACTCTTTTACAAAAAACTGCATTGTATGTTTGAAAATTCTACATTGTGTAAGCGTTAACTTTTAAATTACCTACTTTTGAAAACTTGCTTTATGTACATTAATACAAAATCATTCATAAAACTCATTTTTGACTTATTCTTCTCATTGTCTTAAATGACAACTCAAATGGATCTATGAAACCCTAAACATGTATTTTTGTTACTTGACAACAGATAAAATTTCTTTTATGATACCAACAATCATACTTAATGATAATATTGACTTACCTTATTCGTATGAAAAAAACCCTCGAATAAACTTCTATCAATAACGCAAAAAAGAAATTAGCTCATCTGTTTGAATGGATGGAGATATATTTCATTTTTGATCGTAATGCTATTTATGATTCATACTGTACTTTATGTAGTATAAAGGCAAAATTAGAATGTACATAACTTTTGAAGAAGATGATAGGAACCAAAATTCTTTAATGATTGCTACTACAGCATTGAACAGTATCTATAGGCAAAAAATTATTGAAGTCCAAGGAATGCACCTGAAAAGATTCCCTCGTAAGAGATACCGCAAATCTTTAAATTTCAATCTTAAATGTTGCCCATATAGGGAATTCAACTAGACGAATAGCTTCCATAATACGTTCAGAAGTTTTGAGCAAAATCTTTCCGAGATATCAAGCTCTCAAAAAAATGTATGTTATGTAGACTACCCATAGAAAAGCATTTATACCTTAAAGTCTTATATATCGAAGAGACTCTGTCAAAACTTTTGCATTTTTGATGAAAGATAGTGTAACTGATTTCTTTATATGCTCCAATTTTCAGATCAAAATTCGAAAATAGAAGTTTTCTGATAACCTGGGACCTCTACAGAAACAAGAAAAACAATCATTAAAATCAGAAGGAGGCAGGTGAAGATATTCTCTCGTTAATAATCCTTTTCGTGGTTGCATGTACAATTCTAGTATGCGTGACCTTATATATCTTCATGGAATGCCTCAACTACCAAAGTTCATTAAACCATCATTCAGCATATAGCGTAATAAATAATATTTTACTGATGAACAGAAAATGTTCAAACCTTGTTATAAAATTAATTACAATTCAAAATACAAAAAGCGAGTGTAATAATGTACATTATTTATTATTCTAGACGATAGACTAATCTTTGTACTGTGTATCTGAAAACCTTGTTTTGGTAGCAGCACAATAAAAACATGAATTTCTTTCAAAAAATGATTCATTTTTTTTCAATCGAAAACTAGTTAAACTTTGAATCTATCTGCAACATACACAATAGTTAGAACATACTTACACGTTGACGATATGATAATTGTTGATCATGTTCTAAAAGTTTGAAAAACAAATAATCAATTGATTCATATATAACTTCTTAAAAAATGCTTCACCTAATTTTTCCATTTCATTTAGTTTTTTTTTTAAATTATCATTTTCCATTTTTAAATCTCTTTTTTCACCTTCTAATTTTCGTACAGCATTTTTTTTCTCTTCATCAATTGAAGCCATATAATCACTTTAAAAAAAAACATTAAAATTAATTAATTACAAATAAAAATAAAAAAAATGATTTATCTTACTGTTGTATTAAGTTTAATTTTTCTAATTTTTGTTTTTCAAGTTCATTAAATAAAGCACGATTTTGTATTTCTAATTCTGTACCTTTTGTCCAACGTGGATCACTTTTCATTTCACTACAAATAAGAAAATCATTTTCTTTTATTTCGTCTTACTAATTAATCTCTTTACGACATACTCAAGTGTCATTTCTTTTTGTTTCAGTTGTGATTCTAATTTAAATAGACGTTGTTTTAAATTCATAACAACATTCTGCAATCAATAAAAAACAAAACAAAAAAAACATTTCTTTTAATCTTTAAATTCAAATTAAACTTACAGCAGTTGAATTAGAAGAACTAGCTAATGTTCGTCGTATATCACCATCCTTCGAAAAGTAGAAAATTCAAATAATACTTTTCCTATTGGATATATCAACACAAATAATACCTTATTTGTATCATAAAAATTATCAATTTCTTTACGTTTGCGTACATTATCTTCTTCTAAACGTCGAACTCTAGCACGTAAATTATTATTATCATCTTTTGTATATTTTAATTCCTATATTCAAAAAAAGAATTAAATGATATATAAATTCATACGATTTAAGTTCATAAAACTTTTTTTAAAAATTGAATTTCATCATAATATTCTTCTTGTGTTTTATATTTTGGATTTCCACTAGATGGTCGATTGACTACAATGAAAACAAAATTATGAAATAATTTTTTTTTTTAATCATGAATTCTTGTCTTACAATTATTAAGTGATGTCAAGTCACTAGCACTTTGTGTACGTGTTATACTTCTAGATGAATATCCATTTGATAATGTTGATGTATTCATTAATTGTTTTAAATATTCAGGCGAACCTTGATAAGCAACATTAGTATCATCATATGAATGTAAGCGTGTAAAAGATTTCTTTTGTTGATGTTGATTATAAGGTGTTTGTTCAATATAAGCTTTTCTTGCTGAATTCATTCGAGTTCTTCCATTTATAGTTTTTGACATAATTTTAAAAAAAAAAGGAATTTTACGATTTCTTATCTGATCAAGATATTTTATCTGATTATCGATAATAACCATAAATTTTATTGTTACTATAGAAACAACAATCATAATGATTGAATAATGTTAAGTTGCGACCTCTATGTTTACAATGATTGATCAGGTAGAAGAGAATATCCTGGTGTGATACGAAAGAGTCATACATACTAATTTTTCTTTATGTATGTATGATTATTTGTTTTTTTCTTATATTCAATATGATCACTGTTATTTTACTATGAATGTTCATTGTTTTTTTGTAGACTAAAATAAACAACATGTTGGCAATAAGATGTCGATTAGCATTGAATTCATCTCGAATTTTGGCTACAGCTGGTGTAATTACAAAAAGAGAACAAAAACGACATTCATCTTTAACAATAAAAACACTCAATCCACTTGTGAAAGAAGTTGAATATGCTGTTAGAGGTAAAAAATATTTATTTTATTGAATTCAATAATTTATTTCTATAATTTTTAAATCATAGGTCCAATTGTTATTCGTGCTGGAGAGATTGAAAAACAATTAAAAGTAATCAGATTTTCTTTTATTTTTTATCATCATATTTTAACAAAATAAATATGTATGCAACTATATTTTCATTTGAATAATGTGATTTGTTTATATTTCGAGCGAAAATCAAAGAAAACATGTTACTTGAAACATTCACTTGATATGTAGATATAAAGATTACCGGTAAAAATGACTATCATTTGTGTAAGAGCAATTTTCGTTCTTTTATTGCTTCGAACAGCTGTTAAATGTAGATATGAATAAGGTCATCAAGAAAGACAAAAAAAAAAGAACAAAAAGATAGATAATAAACAAATTACCTTTATACCTTTTATTTCGACGATAATCCATATTCCGTATTAGTCGAAGTATCATCAAATTCCACTAGAATGGATTATAAAAAAGTTCTTACGATGGAAAATTTAAATCCACGTGTAATTGATGTTGAATATGCTGTTCGAGGTCCAATTCTTATTCGTGCTACTCAAATTGAACAAGAAATTAAATCGGTTTTAATATTATTTTAATAGACTATTATTATTATTGATTTTTCTTAGGGTAAGCATAATTTTCCATTTGATCGTGTTATTCGAGCTAATATTGGTGATTGTCATGCTAGTGGTAATCAAGTACCTATTACATATATTCGACAAGTTCGTATTAAAGTTGATTTTATTTTAAGATGAAAATTATTTTTATTTCTAGTTCGTAGCTGGTTGTACTTATCCAGAATTATTGAAATCATCTAATTTTCCATCGGATATAAAAAAACGTGTTGAACGTTTACTATCTGTATGTGGTGGAAAAAGTCTTGGTTCATATACTGAAAGTCAAGGTATTATAACGATACGTGAAGATATTGCAAATTATATTCAACAACGAGATGGTTATCCATCAGATCCAAATAATATTTATCTTTGTAATGGAGCTTCAGATGGAATTAAAACTATAATTAAACTTTTAATGAATAATGATGCAACGAAACCATCAGGAATTGTAAGTCTAAAATAGAGTATTGTACGAAAATTTATGAAAGTAGAAGTAGCTAAAACTTTTCATAAATACGACATAAATACCATAGAAGATAGCACACGTCAGCTCCGTCTCCATCAAGATCTATAGTACTTAGATATAAGTATCCGACGCACGACTTTCAATACTCTAGTTTGAAATTGTAAAATAAAAATAACATAATTTTCTTGATTTAATCTATAGATGATTCCAGTTCCACAATATCCATTATATAGTGCAACTCTATCAGAATATGGAGCTCATCAAATTGAATATTTTCTTGATGAAGATAATAATTGGGCATTGAATATCGATGAACTTGAACGTTCATTAAATGAATCAAAAGATCGATGTGTACCACGTGGTATTGTAATCATTAATCCTGGAAATCCTACTGGTAAAGTGATAGAAATCTGTTTTATTTAATTTCAAATTTGTTTTATTTTTTTGATTAGGTCAAGTACTTTCACGTGAAAATATTGAAAATGTTATTCGTTTTGGTAATCTTTATTTTCTTTTCCTATATTGATGAATAACTATTCGTTTTCTTTTTATATTATTTTAGCTCATAAACATCAATTATTTGTTTTGGCTGATGAAGTTTATCAAGAAAATGTTTATTTACCAGGTTCAAAATTTTTTTCATTTAAAAAAGTACTTATGGATCTTGGTACACCATATAATCAAATGGAAATGGGTATTAAATATCTTATTTATCTTATCACGAATTTCTGTTTTTTTCTTCCTCTCTCTTTTAGCTTCATTTCATTCAGCATCAAAAGGTTGGCATGGAGAGTAAGTTTACACCTTTTTTTTTTATATAGAGAACAATATATATCTTTTTTTTCAGATGTGGTTCTCGTGGTGGTTATTATGAATTGATTAATGTTGATAAAGATGTCAAAGTACAAGTTAATAAACTCATATCAGCATGTCTATGTTCGACAGCTTGGGGTCAAGCTGTTATGGCAGCAATTATAAATCCACCAAAAGAAGGAGAAGAATCCTATGAACTTTATAAACAAGAACGTTTAACAGTTGTTAATCGATTAAAAGAAAAAGCTGATCTTGTTAGTCGATTATTTAATTCAGTTGAAGGTGTACAATGTAATGCTGTTATGGGGTTCGTTAATAAAAAGATATTTTTTTTTTTACGTAGAATAAATTTTATTCTTTTAGTGCAATGTATGCATTTCCACGTATTGAAATACCTAAAAAAGCAATTGAACATGCTAAATCAAAAAATATGGCTCCAGATGCTTTTTATTGTTTTCAATTATTAGAAAAAACTGGTATATGTGTTGTACCAGGTAGTGGTTTTAAACAACGACCAGGAACACATCATTTACGTACAACTATTTTACCACCTGTTGATCAAATGAAAGATATGGTTGAAAAATTTCGTACATTTCATATGTCATTTTTACGTGAATGGAAATAAATAGTTCTTATTTCATTTTCAATTTTCTTAATACTTTTCTTTTTCCAAAATCAAAAATCAACAACATGCTTTTTTTTTTCTATAGTACATAACACTTGTTGGTTCCGGTGTGTATGTTTTTTCTGTTCGTATGTATTAGTTTTATTCCTTCTGTTAGTTTTATATTTTATGTTCATGTTTATATCAACAAACCAACTTAGATAATAGTATTTTAAATGTAGTCTTTTGATGGTAACAAACTATTTCTATTAAAACATTATTTAATGTTAATTAACAAGTATCTATTATCATGACATCTTTAATTATAGAAAATTTAATAAAAAAAAAAAAAGTTCTACCATGCGAACAACATCAAGAATATTTTTCTTTTTCTTTTTGTATGCTGGATGATGCGGGCGTTTTGTGACATTTTCAATCGTTTCACTTTGGTATTTATTTGTCAAATTATTTTATAGAGTCTTATTAGATATTGATGTCCTCTCTATCACTTTGATAGAATGATAATTTTTTATTTTTGTCTTTTCGTTATTATTAAAACGGTTGAAAGTCATGAATTGCGAGATTTTTCTGTCTCTCACTATGAAAATAGGGGGGGAAACGTTCTGGATATTGCAAAACTAATCTTAAATATGACTGCTCAGATCGAATTCACCCCGCCAGATCCTAGACTCTCCGACGGTTGGCGGCATTCCATGATATCCAATAGTAAAAACGGAAAATACACAACTAAATGAAAAGTAAATATAAATTATTGATACCAATGTTTTTCTTCATTTTAAATGCATTATCCAACAAGTGAATATAACGATAAGTTAAAATAGAGTACATTTAAGTTGTTAATTGACAATTGTACTAGATAAAGAGAGTAGGAAGAAGGATGATGACAATGAGGAGATAAAATGATGTCTAACATTCAGAGGTAAGCTCAATATGATTCCATTGGAATTCTATACTAAAGATTTCGATGAAATCCAACTTTGAAATTCTCCATGCTAAGTCAACTAAGTATAATTGATCGTTTGCTATATTAATATAAGGTGTCTGGTTCAATTACAACATTCTTCAAAAAAGTTTACAAACAATGGTCAACGAGTTAAAAAATAATACTTGAAATATTAATTGAGTAAGAAAAAAAAAAATACCTATTAGACTATCTCATGTGAAATATCATAAAATCAAAACAATCAATAATTTGTATCAACCGAGTAATGAAACAAGTTGATATTACTGATTTACGGAAGATTATTGGTATTTTCTATCTACAAATGCATTCAAAAGAAAAACACACCAGTGAATTTATTATAGATGAACACAGCTAAATAGTCTTATAGTGCTACTCTATTACTCTTCTTGAAAAATTATCTTGTTACAAATGGTACTTCAATAGTTTTTTACTCATGTATTCGATCAAACCAAGTCATAGAAGTCCTTTTTTGGAATAGTCTTTTATAAAGCCATTTATGACTTGCTCTGATACATATAACATTATACATATATGAGTCGTTGAATCGAGTTCCATGTAATTAAGATTTCAATGTTGAAGACAGAAGGAAGTTATATGGGTTTAGACTTCGACAATGTGCGAGATTTTAATATGATCTCCTGCCGAAAATTTGTTGATATTGCCAATCCTAATGACACACACTTGATGAAAAAAAAATGGTGCAATTCGTTTGCCTGACCTCTAGTTTCGATGACACTTGACTGATCGTAAAGAATTTTGTAATGCTCCAATTTTCAACTACTCTATTATATTTTAATCATTATAATGGAACTATATTCTATCACTAACAAAATTCAGAATACAATGTAGAGATAATCCTCTTCTAAGTCTTTTCAGTAAATGACGACCCAAATGATTAGAAAATCGTGTTCAATCATAAATGAGTTAATAATGCACTTACCAAGTACATTTTCTAGAACTTCAAACAGATAAAAATAATGGAGATTATCGAACACGAAATGGTACTTAGAGTACCAACCTTTTATATGTATCGCTAATACGAGAATCATTTTCAATTATTGTTAGAACAGTGTTGAAAAATTCTCCAGTCAGAGAAAATTGAAGACGATTTAAATAAATCACATCTTCAATACGAAATGCATGAGTCTATTGAAATAAATAAAATATTTAGATTAGTATACTACCAACAGTGTAAAATTTCATCATGCTAATAGCAGATGAGCATGACTTTTATTATAGATTAAACATATTCACTAGTTATGCAATATCATACTTTAAAAGTATTCCTACGAGAATTCAGATTCATGTGAAAAATGCTGTATCTCTAGTTTGAAATTAATGCAAAAATAAAAGGAAGTACGACACTTTCGAAGTCTGCAGTTTTTCACATAATCTTTGATATCATAAAACATTGTACTTGAATATTTGCATATCAATGATAGCTTTTAAGAGAACCAAACAAAAAATAAAACCTTTTGCATGCCCTATGTATTTGATTACTTTGTTTTGTCATGAAGTATATAGACTTTGTTTTTTTAATGTCGCCCAGCCTTCATCCGACGAAGTACAAATATTTAGTTTTTATCTTGTATTCGATGTAGACGGTAAACACATGTGATAAAACTTGAAATCGAAAAGCAAATATTTTTT